ATGGGCCTTTGTATATTAATATGCCAGAGAACGTATGTTATTCAAAAGGAAATCTGTAATGGCATTATCAACATCTTGTCATCTAGCATTTACTAATTATGCCATGTTCTCCTCACAAGTAAGAAAGATTTTTTCAATTATTTTGCCAGGTTGATTCTAATTCAGATAGTTTAAAGGTCAGTAAGAATTACAGATAATAGGGAAAAGCTTTTTGACCGAATTTTCTACTGTGGAAAGAAAAGTGCACCTTTTTTCAACAATCAGTTGAAGCAGTTATTGTCTTAAAAAGGAACGAAGTACTGTGTAAAACAGGCACATCATTATTTTAGTTTTAAATCAGTTTATTTGAGATAAAGCATGCTGCTATATACAGAAAAAAAATGTGGGTCGAAGCAAGAGCAATACAGAATGGGCAACATGTTCCTTTGAACTTCAGAGATGCTTTTATAAACTTCAGTGCACCAACAGTACTATATATGCTGTTTTACTCCTAAACACCTCTAGCAAAAAGTTATTTCCTCACAGGTCCTAAACAACCACATTCTATCTTTCATCTAATAGCAAATTTAGATTTCAAATATGATAGCAAGTAGTCTTAGCAAATAAGTTTTACTAGCATAATATACTGAAGAGAAAATGATAACGCTGAAGTCTTACTCAAACAGCATCGTTTGACTATGTGAACTAAGCAGGTTGTACATTTAGCAAACACTTGGCCAGGCTCAGTCTGCTTTCCTTTTCATGCTATGCTGTCATATTTAATTATCTTTACAACAATAAAAGTCAATAAAACCTAAGTCTTCCTCCTAAAGAAATAGTGTGAATAACTTCCCTCTCATTTTCTCCTGTAAGTAAAGTCAAAAAAGTAACACAATCATCTTTTCCTTCTATCTGTATACTGAAGTTGCATTTGATATCGTAAAGGACAAAAGCTAATCTACTTCATACCAGAGAACGTGAACAAGGCAGTATGATTATTTTTGCTTTTGGTGACACTGAGTGAATTCCAGGCTAACAACAGAAATCTACTAAAGGTGGGCACTCAGAAAAAATAAAAACAACCTAGCAATCATCTTTCCTGTACGTGTGTTACGCTCTTAGGCTCTAACTCAGGATAGCAGTTATTTCTTTCCTGTAATTCTCTCTCACATCTTTGCCCACTGAATGCGGGCTTTTAACTTTTAACATTAAGGATTTGCGCCGACAGGCCGTGATGCCAGTTGCGCAATTTGGCAAAGCGTGGGCTGTTACGTTCCGTTTCAAACCTTTCCCTGTGGCATGAAGAAAGAGAGAGAGACAGAGACAAAGAGGAGAAAGAAAGGAGGGAGAAAGAAAGGGATTAGGGAACGTGGCTACCACTCCCCTGCCTTATTATAGTTAGGGCAATGGCAATTTATTTGGATTTGTTTCCCCAGCTTTTGAACCAGTGCAAAGAAAGCTGGATGATCCTTTTTAGACCGTAAATGAATATTTTTGCATTTGTTCATTTCTGAGGAGTAATTTGAAGTAACTTCACATTCTATGACTTATATTTGGTATTACAGGTCTGCTTTTGCTAGAAATGCAGTGCAATCCCATTGTTTTCCTGCCAGCAGATTTGCTTGGCTCTCCCCTCCCCAACCCAAGCAGTCATTTAAAGTTGATTCAGTACAGGAGCAAAATTACTGCAAATATTTTCCATTCCGTAAATAATATATAGGCCAGCATATTTATATCTATTTCTCATGCTGTCCTATAAGGCCATCAAACGCAGCATTCAGCAGCAGTTTCTATAGGTTTCTCAACAGAAGTAAGTATAGGTATTTCTGATCATTTGTGTTAAAGAGCAGAATAACTTGGGATTTTCAAAAGTGCAGTCCTGTGAATAACTGACCTCCCCCTGTCAGTTTGACTGCAGACCGGTGCTCTTGAGCAACTTGTAAGCAATGTTCAGCACCTCTCAGAGCTCAATTTTTTCTACATGTTCTATAGCTTAAATTAAGATTTTGCAAACAAAAAGTGGAAGGGGGAGGACATGGGATGAGAGTGTAGTCGAGGAGAAGTATACGTTACTTACAAATTTATTTGATCAATTGCAAACAGATTATTTTCCACCTATTATTTAAACTCCAAGTGTAAGATAAAACTCTGTTCATTGTAGCAGAACTTGAGAGTGAAACCAGTGGAAAAGAAAGGAACAGACCAAACTGGTTTTACTCCTCAGGCTGAATATAACACAAGACATTGAACAGTGTAAATATCAACAAATTCACTGATATTTCTAAATTTTCTTTCTAAATCTCAGGAAGTCTTTATGTATGACTTCCTAAACTATCTTTTAATTACTTAAAAATATACAAGTATTTATTGCTGAAACACTGAAAGTTCACAGTGGCATTTATTTACATTATTATTTACACTGAAGTGTATTAGCTGTTATTAGCTGCAGTGGGTCTTAAATGAATTTCATGAATTCCCTCACTGCTTTAAAAATATATCCCTCCATTTGAGGAAATGGCATTAAGAAACACCTGCTGAACTTGAAACAGATATCATTCTGGAAACTGCTCTGTAACAATCATCACAACAGCAAATTAATGTTTTCACATCAAGCTATAATCATATGTGTGCCTTCAAAGTAGCAGAAACTTGAGCAAAAGGAAGTCATGCTCTGCATTCAACGATGTTAACAGAAAATAAATCTTCTGCCACCTTAAGATTCTAAGTCTTACCGATACCACTCAAAGCATATGTTAAGAAGTTAGAAGCAACAATCCCAAAGTGACTTTTTTTTGTAAAACGAGCCTGCCAAAAATGAGCCACATGTTCTTTTTTTCTAAGTGTTCGGAGGAAATCTTACTGCCATCTCATGCAGCTCTTGCTGACTACACTGAAGAACTGACACAGAGACAACGGAAAGCACCAGAGGGTGACTGCTCACAACGTGCTCTAGGACCAAAATCATCCATTACATCCATTTACATTTTGATTTTTTTTTTTTTTTCCATGAAGCCAAAACAAGATCAGTGCAACATTTAACCTGACAAGCTTCACACCCCACAGTTCTGTGACAGCCTTTTGCGTTTGAGAGCCCAGGAAGCCTTCCAACTGATCTCCTAACTGTGGGCAGGGAGCAAAACCTGATTGTACAGGCTGTATAGTGTCTGGAAAAGACACTGATGAAAAGTTTGTACTCCAGTATTGTGATGGCAGAGTGAAGGTCAAGTGCATCTGACATAGCTTCCTCCATCCTTTACAAATCCAAAAGATGAAACAGAGATAGGTCCAATCAACCCAAGAAAACATATGATGGACACATGCATAACCAGTGCCTGTGCTACAAAATCTGCAGGTGGAGTACCTATAATGTATGAAGTAGGCACCAGGGCACCAAGATGAGCCAAGTGCTGTGAGTATGCTATTAAAGAAGCCCTATTTCACTTCTCGTACCAGAGCTTGTGATGTACTGCCACACACATTATACTTCTAACTATCTACTACAATGTTCCCTTCTGCCTCTACTTAAACTTCTTTTAGTAATGCAGATGTGCTTAAGTATACTCAAAATCATTACTGTCCTCATGGTTAAAAAAATAAATAATAGTAGCATTAATACATTAGAAGTGCAGAAAATGTGCAGTGCATAGCAAATACAATCATGTACTTTAAGTTACACTAAAAAAAAAAATGTAATTTACACTATGCATGTTGCTGTACTAACTTTTGCAATCTATCTAATACCACATTAAACTTCCACTATCTGGTGTTTTACAAAGCCACAAACTACATCCAGAAAGATTACTTCTTCAATAAAATATATTGCTATCAGATGTGTATATAGGAGAACTGTTACGTTCACTACAGCATTTCAAATCCCTCCATAGTAAGGATTCACATGCGTGCTATTACATCAAAACATGTAATGTAGGGTACATTTTCTAACAGTTAGGCTTGCACATTTGATAGGAGAAATGAATCCAGCAGGGATGTAATACCAAGCCTGATATTCAGGCACCCACCCACCATCTTTGGTGAACTGCAATGGAAGGCTTGTGGCAGACAAACTGAAAGTCTACATACTGTATTTTCATAGGGAATATGACAGCCATCTTTCTCACTAGCTCAACTTTGTAGCTTGCACTGTGATCAAAAGCTCAAAGTACTCATGGAAGAAACATGCTGGTAGAAAGACGACGATGACAAAATAGAGCAAGTGGATTGAATATCAAAGAAATCACAAACCCAGCTAGTGGTGTAGAGTAGCTAATGCGAAATAGGAGTTTGAAGTACGGAAATAGAAAATCAGGCTTACATGTAGGATGCTCCAATTCAACTTCAATTATTAAACTGTACACAATAATGTAAAATAAATTGGATCCCTGGCAGCATAGGAAAACATAAGATGATCACAGGCCTTTAATTCCTTGTCTTATTTCTGAGCATACTCATTTTATCAGCATTATTCTTAGGTTATAGAAGGAGACAAATATATTTCACCTCAGCAAAAGCAGTCCTGTGCTTCCTTATTATACAAGTTTTGGTTGCACTTTCAACAGAACAGAAATGATTATGGATACGAATGGAAGAAAGCTCCTTTAGTGAATCATTTCAGATGAATCAGAGGTCAGTCAGGATCATCCAAATAAATTGCACATAAATTTCAATGCTATCACAACATTACATATTTTCATACAGTTACACAATCAAGCAGTTACACGGGATTTGGTCTTAGAAGCTCACTGCATTCACACACAGAATAAAATACATAAAAGTAGCATGGGCAGGGAGCTTTCGGATTTGAACACACTTCTTTGTACCGTCTTCAATGCATGCCAATTTGTTAGCTCTTCTCAAATTACTCTCACTGATAGCATTTTAATTTTAGTTCCTTTTAAGTAACTGTGTTAGAGACCATGTGTAAGGCAAGAAAATAGTTGAATATGCTAGTATTAATGCTGTTTTAAAACATTATTTGTTATCACTAGAGACAAAAGCCATGTTCTCCACAAGGAGTTGCTTACCTTGATCTCCTCAGGGCTTCTTCATCTGGATCTTGCACTGCAGGGAGAAAGCATTTCCATTAGAACAGAAATGAAGAAAGAAATTATCGGCTTCGTGTTAAAATTACAAGTTCTTCAGAAAAGCATCAAAAGCCTGTTTAAAGGTACACTGATGCTGACTTAGCAGCAGTGGCTTTAGTGACAGTGGGAAGAGGAGCAGTTTCCCTAGAGCTAGGCAGAAAGATCTTAGTAGTAAAGTGGCTATTACTACAACATCCTCATTTGTTTACTAGCAGCATTTCATAGCTGTAGGCAATGACCCTACAGAGAGGGCTTGCTGTTTTGTGGAATCGCATCAGAGGTAGCAGTAGATTAATACAAGGAGAGAAAACTAAATATTTCTCTGTGATGTTGGAAAGGTTCTTGAACTAGAACAGAAACAGGATCTGAGTTTAGCACCAGATGGTCAGAAAAATATTTCTGTAGGCAATAACCAAAGAAGTTCGAACTCATATAACATTCACAAAAGATTTAGGTTTAGATTAAAGGCTGATAGAGGACCATAGGTAAAGTACAAACAATGATCCCTGTTTTGTTTTGTTTTTTACTTCAGGAATTCACCTCTATAGAAGTATGTTACAAGACACTGAAGTGCTTTATCCTTTCTCTAATGAATCGACAGCTTTTACGTCTAAACTGCTGGAAAGTGAAAGGTCACTGTGCATAGATTAGATTTGTAAGAAAGGATTATATGGTCCCAGATAAACTTTTACTGTACAGTCTTATGCTTATTTTGGTGAGACCCTTGGCAGATCAAAGAATTTGCTTCATCAAGTATAAGGTGAGACATAAAACTTGCATTTCCTAACTCCCTTAAGTTACATTCAAGGCCTCTCTGTCTGATCTTAGCCCTCAGTGACAATGACTGCAAGAAGAACATGAACCAGTATTAGTCACCAGTGCTAGGATTGGAAAATGAAGAGACAAATCTAAAGCCAGGATGAGGAAGATGCCTTGTTATTTGACTTACTGAACTCCGTTCCAGTCATCTGGGCAAGGATGCGAAAAGACTTAGACTGCAGGTTGGCAGAACGGCGGCTCCAGTCCTCAGTTTCATCTTCAGGCTTGTTCTGAGTTTTGAGAACAGCCTGATACACCGGAGATGCACTGTCTACGTGAGGATCTTTAAGAGGAAGGGTACTGCAATTCAGAAAGCGAAACGTTGTGAAACAACACATAGAAGCTTTCATCTTTACTTCTCTCTGGTCTTACAGCTTCTCATCCAAACTAACAGCAATTCAAAACAGAAGGACAAATACGTAGACCAACATCAGGTGAATTAAGAAAGATTTTGCTCATTATAACTGTGAAATCGTTCAAACCCTTATATTTAAAGCACTGTGAGAATGCTTGGAAATATCTGTTCATGATTCCTCAGCCAAAGCAGCCATAAGCTTCTGTAATGATATAAAGGAGACTGTGATGATAAAGGAGTCTTATTTCTCCAAGCATTCTGACCAGTATTATTCCTTATAAAAACAGCTTTGTGTTGGTAGTTTTACCTTATGTTTCATTTTAGTCTTGGGCCAGTATATTTTAAGGTTGCATGTAAGAACAGAGAATGCATTTCATTACATTACTAATGTAATAAGCTTTTTTTCTATTATTTATTTTTTCCTTTCCAGAGGTCATTATTCTTAGACAAAAGTCTGAATTAAAACTCAAGCTGCTGTAACTCCAGATTGCCTACTTTTAGTAGAAAAAAGGTGACTTGTACTCAAGACTTACTTACGTATTTTATACCTAAAAACTTCAGCAGCAGAATGTACCTCAGGCTTTTCCAATGTCTCTCATCATCTTGCACGATATCCAGGAAGAAACTTCTAGTTTTTCACATCCAAAGCCAAAACTACAGAACTCTGTAGCACACGTGAGGTTAACGTTTTTTTTTTTTTTTTTTTTTTTCTTCTCCTGCATAAATAATTTCTGCATAGCACAGTTTGAATAGCGACAACTTTAGAAAGACACTGTGAGGTAATTATGTGTACAGCCTTGTAGTAACTTGACTACATGACTTCTGTAAACACAAGGCCTTTTTCTGAAGCAAGTGATTATTTTTAACTGCTTGAATGTGCTATTCCATGCAGAGATTTGCAGGCAGGATACTCAACAAAAATTGAGAAATGACTCAAAAGATAAGGGCCATAACTCAGTGCTATAAAGTTTAGGGAGTGGTCACCTGCTGTAGAAGTTTCTTCTCTGGCTCAGGCTCCAATTTAGTATTATCTGAGAGTTCTGCATTTTGCAGAGGAAATGAACAAGGAAGTTGGTTTTGTTATTTAAAAGCAGATGAGGAATGATGAAAAAGCCAAAAGAATATCTGATATCCTATATATGGAGGTAGATCCTAAAGTAATGCCTCCTATTTATTACCATGGAAACTATAACAGATATAAATAATACAATAATACTATTTGAGAGAGCAAATTCTTAGCTACATAATGCTGTTTTTCAACATAGTCACCTCTATTAAGTATGCACTTTTGCCAGAGATGAACAAGAGCCTACATGCCATGCACATAAAAACTTGCACCAGCAGAGGTGACCCACGGTTTCACAGCTGTTATGATTGCATTGTTGCTAGAAAAACGTTGCTCACACAGTCTATCTCCATTGAACTGAGCAAGTGAAGGCCAGAAGGTGCCAAACCCAAACTATACAGTGAGTGTGGTAGGACAGTCCAGCCAAATTGACAGTCTCTTCCACAGTCTTCAAACGGATATGGGACTTGGTAGTTTTGCATTGCAAGAGAAAGGTTGTCTTCTTCTCTGGCTTGAGTGTTAAGTCTGAATCTTCAGCTTAGCCAGCGTTGTGACGTAGCAGCTGATGTCTTGCCCGGGCCCCAGGAAATTCAGAAAGATTGTGTCTTTCCTACACTGAAAGAGCACACATCACTTTACTGGCTGAGGGCTAGGTAATGAACTTTTTCTTCAATGGGGAATTCACACCACCACTCCACGGACTACCATTTTGACTTCAGCTTGTAGTGCTGACTCCCTGTCTCATCACTGGTAACGATGTGATCCAGGAAACGGTCACCTTCAGCCTTCTATTGGTTCGATAGGTCCTGACAAACTTGCATGCAGCGCCCTTTTGTTTCAGTGTAAGCATTCGTGGAAACCATCTGGTACAAAATTCATCCAACTCCTGTGTTGCCTCCATCGTTTGCAATACAACGAAGCTGATATTAAATTCTGTACAAAGCTCCCGGTTTTAATTCACAAATGCATGTAGATGAGCTTATTGGGGCACTCTTCATTTCATAATACGACAGCTGTGCATGGCTATCTAGAACATGGCTGGTCTTTCATTTCACTGTCACCAGAGCTGAAATGTACCACCCACTGCTTCACTGTGCTAACATCCAGTGTTTCATCTCCATAAACATTCAGTGACCATCAACGAATATCAATGGGTGCCATTTTTCCACATAAAGGAATTCAATTTCACACTTCTGCTTCATACATACTTCCATGCCGTGTCAGACTCCAATCTGTCAGACTGCCCCTCTGCTGCCATCTGTCACATGGCAACAAACTGTAAAGGAGTATTGGTGGGGAGATTCAATCTCAATGCCATACCACCAACATCCGCCTCTGACATCAAGGGGCAACTTAACATAATAGGAGGCATTACTACCACAACAGCTCTCATACAGCATGCACTAAAATATATATATACACACACTACTAGGCAATACCTTAAATGTCAGTACTTCCCAGGTGACACACATCTCTGTTTTAGCATTGCATAACATAAACTCTTTTAGTGGATCCGCAACTAGCGATAGCATGGATGTGTTTTTCAAATAAGACTGCAAGGGGTTCAGAAATTACACGTGCTTATATATGCCGTAGATTCACAGCATGCATTATATGTGACTGTATCATACCCCAACACCTTCAGATTTTATATTTTTTTTAAGAGTATTTCTATTTCTCATGCCCCCAGCATATGCAGACTTTTCACTTCCTTGAGGACTCAGTTGGGCACAAGATTCAGTACTACATGGTGGAGCAGAACTTTGGAAAAAAAGGACCCTAAAAATGAATCTTCAATTCAAGATCTGAAAAAAAACTTCCCCCAGAGGTGACCTAGTTTTCAAGTTCCCAGCTGCACTTCAGGCATTCTTCTTAGTACTGACTAAGCATGCAGTGTCTTCTGCCTTATCAATAGAATCACAGAATGGCTGGGGTTGGAAGGGATCTTTAAAGATCATCCCATTCCAAAACCTCTGCTGAGGGCAGGGAAATTTGTAGGGGGAGGAAAGGCCAGGTGACTGCTTTAACTGGCCAACAGTTCCTTTATACCTCAGACTTGTATTCCAGTGCTGAAGTTCAAAAACGAAAAAAAACAATCCTGCTAGATCTGATAGCAAATTTTAACACTGCAGTCTGTTGCAAGCTGGATATGTAGTACTGTTGATTTTAACCATGTACTCCTGTGGCAGCTGTGGCGTGTGAGTCACAGATTATTCAAAATCTGTTCTTCACATGCTCTAGCTAAATTGCTTTATATTTGTATTACAACGAAGATGCAAAGAGACAGTTTAGAAGTATATGTATGTAGAAGTATATGTATGGATATGCTATTTTTTCTAGAGACTAGACCACAGATTTCATAGTAGGAGTACATGGCATTAATATGACATATTACTGTCTTTGTGCTAGATGATTATGGCAGGAAATGGAGACTGGTGAATTAACCTCCCTAGAATAGTGAAATAAGCTCCTATAAATTGAACTAGATTAATGCAATACATTGGAATATTTCCAACTCTATCTTTACTGCAGCAGGCCTTTTTCTTTTTTTTTTTTTCAATTGTAATTATATTGCAGATGAGTATCTTGGACATCTAAGCCACTCAGCATGGAAGTGCAAAACACAGAGCATCGCTAACTATGAGCACTTCATAAACCTAAATGTGGTGTTTGACTCACACAGATAGCTGAACTACATAAATAACTATGTTAATAAGTAGTTCTTATACCTCTTCTTAATTTTTCTGTCTGGGTACACATGTGCAGAAATATCATGCGTCCTTAAGAACATTACCTCAAATTGACATTACTGAAAAAAAGTCTGCCTAAATGGATTAGAGCTTTTGAGATTTGTTTATACAATACCCTAAGATATTATAGTTGTTTTCAATAGAAAGTTCTCTCTTTTTGCATTACCGTACAGATCAGATGTTATTAGCATTAAAAGAAGCTTAAAAGACAGTCAAATCTCTTTCGATATGTACAAATGTGATTTTATCTTGCAGTTCATTGTAAAATATGGTTTACCCTGTAAATCACTTCCTGAATCATGACTCAGTTTTAATGCAAGCAAGTAGATAGACGTTAAGTAAAAACTTTGGGAGGACTATATAGCTCTATCATTAAGTATACAACAAAATAATGTGACACAAGATACTAGACCAATTCTGGCTATTGACCAATGCTTTGAGAAAAAGCCAGTTCCTGCAGATCAGAAAATTATACAGCCAAGCTAGCTTATTGTAAAGAGATGCTAGACTTAATTTAGTTTACACAGTCACATTATTGATTCTGCTACTGGAACTGTAGGATCTTAATCCTGATAAAGCTGTCGGATTTGTATCTGTTTACATGAACTGTGAATTTGGCTGAAACTGCATAATGGAACTTAAAAGAGGTTTTACTGAAATGTACTTGGAATACCTGACCACGTGGTTTTATTGCAACCAACCCTCGGTTCTTGGTATATCAAAATTAATTATAACAAAGCAACATACAATAAAGATATGAAGTCAGAGCATTTGAACATTGCTATCCTGATGTTTTAGTTTGAGGTCTGAATAATTGTAGTCTAAGTCATTTGTAAGCTTTCCTTCAGGTTCTCCAGGGCAATCCAGTATTTGAGTGCTATTTTCTAAACAGCAAAGGCCTGACACCAGTCTTACTGATGGAAAAGATAACTGATTTCAAACAGTTAAACTGGAGGATGAATCCCTGTCCTAGTACTACTTTCACTGATATCAGAAGTAAACAGTATTTGCAGTTATTGTGTGTCATAAAGAACAGAAGCCTTTTGGATCTGCAGTCACAGTACACACATTGTATTGCATACCACCTCCTGGCTTCAGAACTTATCTGTAATGTAAAGTTAGAAGCCCAAAGGAAAGTAACACATGATAGGCAGAGAACTGGGACCAAATGAATCAGTACATAATTTAGCCTGCTTTTACTTGACAAACTTCTCATACTATAATTTCCGCATGAAGCAAACTCGTATCTCAGAGTTGATCTATTAGCAACCTGAAGAGCTGCAGTAATATCAGCGAGGATTGTGTCTATCTAGATTAAAAAGGTTGTGTTCATAGTAGGATTACTGAGAAATAACAAGGAGAAATTTGTTTAGCCACTAAAGCATTAAGAGTTTTTAAAAAATAATTTATAAATCAGGCTGTAACACACAGCACGGTAGACTTAGAAAGTTTCCTGCAACTGAGACAACAAATAGAAGCACAAATTTCCTCTGGAGTCAAGTGAATGTTGGGCTTAGGAATGGAGTTCTTAAGCATTACAATTTCCATTATATAATGCTACACCATTTGGTAGAAAGTGTTCTTATAATCTACGCTGTTATTAAAAACACAGATATAATGAACTTCTTTCATTGTACTTTGTTAAATTGGCAATGTAGTTCTACTTACATCTTTGGAGACTGACTGAGCTGTGATTGAGCCAACAAATTGTTTGGGATGCATCATTAGGGAGTTATGAACACAACAGAATAATATTGGTGGGGAAAAAAGATCTTTCAGTGAGAAAATAGCCAGTAAAGGGAATGTAAGCAAATCTATAAAGCGCCTGCATTATGAAAAAGTCTACAGCTAACAAATTTAAAAGAAGCAATGTTAATGTTTGCTGCTCTACCTCTATTTTGGAGTCATGTGATAAGAAGGTAGGCTCTATTTTAGGTAAAGGATGCTTAGTAAGAGAGAAAAAGGGCTACACTTATGCCACATATAATTTCAGTTAAGTCACAGATGTGGATAAGTTTATCAGACAAGATTAGCAGAAACATGCACTGGAAAAACAAAATTATTGAAGATCAATGACTTTTACTATAGTCCTAAGGATAACAAAGCGTGTGCATAAGGCATGTATACAGTATATATACTAGATAAGGGGATAGTACAATATAACTTTCCATGATAAAGGATAAAATCATAGCCAGCACTAAGTAAATACTTGACAGTCTTTAACTATTATAGAAACCCTCCCCCCTTCCTTTCTTAATTCAGTCTTTGTTACAAAGAATAGTCAAGGTAAATGAAAAGCCATCTATCTTCAAATAGAGAGCACAACATCTGTTCCTGTGGTATTTGAGATACCCAAAAAAGTTGCACTTGCTCAATTCAACCCCAGCTGAAACTGAGACACTAGTTATCCACCCTTTAAACTGCAAAAAAAAAAACAAAAAAAAAAAACACTTTCAAACAGTATCTAGAACTGATTTGTATTTTTCACAGAAAAGATACTCCAGGAAAAAAGAGTCGAGGAAGAAGTCTCATCGTGCATATGGGGATTATTAGATGTTTCATGCAGAGAAAGAGCATTCCACACAAGGAAATAATCTTACCCAGCAAATTCTCCACCTTGGGCTTGTGCCTGGCCTGCAATTGCATCCATGATGGCATCTTGGGAATACATGCTGATTGGGGTGTTATACTGGGCGTGAATTATAGTAGCCTTGCCGCCTAGGCCTTTCACCTCAATGGGTTTGTGTGTAGACAGGGCAGAGTCCTTCAGGACACTGGGGTTGAAACGCTCCGTGAAATCCGTACTGGATTATGCAAGAGTGAGGTTCAACAGGAAGGGAGGGGAAGAAAGGAGAAAGGTGTGATAGTTAAGTGAGAGAAAAACTACTAACAGAGGAGCGTACACGTGTATTCATGGCATCTCACCACAAAAGCTTCAGTTCAGAGAATAAGAGTCAGCATAACAACAAGTAACAGTTAAATGCTGGCTGCGCTCATGAGTGACATCTTTGTGTTGGCTAACAGACAGATAAAAAAGGTGAAGAGTTGACTTCATAAAGAATTGCTATGTATCTCTCATATTTACATATATTAAAGTTGTGCTCTTACATGCATATATAATTGTATTCACACATACACAAAGGCACACATATGTATGCATGTCCATGGATGTACGTACATCAGTGAACTCCCCATGAAGGGTCATACAAAGCACTAGGAAAGTACAATGAGGTGAATAGATGTCAGCTTCTCTATTATTTAGAAGATCACTGTGCATAATTAATGACAGTGAAATTTAGTACTCGTGCCTTTTCATGCTGAAAGCCCTTCTGAGCCACTAGATCTGCACAAACTCTACAGAAGGCCCAAGTGTTGTGATAACATGATAAATGTTCAGTCTCAAATCCTCATCACGCAATCAATATTGCAGTCATATTTGGAGGAGATGCAGCCATCTTCTTCCAGTGGCTTTATTTATGAGGGAAGACTCATTTGAGAAACTGAACTGAAATGAGTAATATAACTGGAGTTCCCGTAGCAAGAGAGTTGGTTTAATGCTGTACTTCAGCTAAATTGCACCTAGGTTCCTTTTACTGCCTAGCTGAATACTGTTACAGTCCTACAGTGTGGACTGAGCACTGTCTGGAGTTGTAACAAAAAATCAAAACCTCACCTGTTAGTCACTGAAGTAACTGCTCTTCCTTAACCTGTGGAATGTCAGATTAATATCCAGCCTGCTGATCCTACCCTGCCAAAAGCAGCAGGATGACAGCAGCGCAGCTCCTGAAAGCTCACCAGGACTAAGCAAAACTAAGAAATCCATCCTTTGGGGAATGCAGGTATTTCACAAAGATGTCATTTTGAACTGAGCCAAAAGTTCAGAATGGATATAACCCTCCTGCCCCCAACAGCAACAGCAACAGAAGTGCAGTAATTCTGAAAAATGTAACCCAGTTTGAATGGAACAAGTTTCATTTTCAACTTAAAACCATTAGCTCACATGGACTATATTAAGTCTTCTGCTGAATTCTTTCCTGTGACTGAACTACATCTGCTTTGGTCGTGAAACAGTAGTGTTCCTGTTGCTCATGAGTTAGCCATGGGGTGTGCCTGAGTACTAAATCTGAACTGCCAACACTGCATTGAGGAGAAAAGAAAATCAAGTCAAGATGGCAGCCATCGGACAGTCTTCCAATGATTAACAAAGATGATGTGCCACCACTGAATCCAGCCAGCACACTATGCTTTAAGCCTTCTCTGTGGTGGGATGCCCTGACTGCAGATGGGCAGTAGGAGACAGTTACATGTCATTCAGAAATACTCCACAGAACACAAACAGCAACATGCTCAAGGAACAGAGACATAAATAAGCACATGCTGTACTACAGCCATAGCCTTTCATGACACACGTCAATGTTATAAGGGAGGGAAATGGAAAGCTGAATTATGCATTCAGGAAAAAGTGAAAATCATCTTTTTAAAAATACATTTTCACATCTAAAACACCTCTTCATCAACTGTTCTCCAATATTATATAATTATTCTGCTGACATCATCTGTTGAAAGTTGACATGCAGAGATGTCCTACATGTTATACTTGACTTTACAGCATGCACATGCCTTACTCTAACAACAGTATCTCTTTTCTTTGCAATATTCTCAGCTATCATCTAATCATTACAAACACACAGGCCCCCAAGATCCTGAATTTACTGTTCTCATTTCCCCACACTACAAGGCTTATCGAAGAGATTCTAAAGCCAGGATCCGAGAAGACTGAACAAAAAGATGGAGATTAAAATTCACGCTTTTAAAGAAGATATGTAAAGATGATATGTAAAGATAAACACCAAAGAAGGGCAGTGACACCCCTATAACGTGACTTCTGCTTTCCAATACGGTCAGAATAATTATGACTGTAAGGTGTCAAGAGCTTTATTCCTCCAGGGGAGCTACATCAATTGCATGACATTTCTCCAACACCTCACTGAAATCAACAGAAAATGCCAGTCCAGTGTAAATTACAAGTAATAAGTATTATTTCAATTTTATATATTCTAGCACTAACCTTCTCTTATCAGTTTAAATTTGACATTCAACTAAAACAATTACTTATTTTAAGCTGAATTTAGCCCACTCTCTTCAGCAATTTATCGACAACATTCAGCACAGAGACAGAAGAGGACTTTAGAGAGAATACTCTGCCCTCATCTTAGAGAACAAGGTCAGAGCTGAGTAATCTTTAAACTTCACTAATAAAGCAAATCAATCACAATTCCAAATGAAACATGTATACTTACTTGGGGATTTTATTTTTTTACTAGAATCATTTTTAGTTCTTTTCAGTATTAATATCTATTGCCAGCCTAAATTAGAATTCTAATAAAGTGTGGCTAAAGAAATTATCTTAATGCTTAGACAAAAAATATATCACTAATAATGCCCCTAAAAAGGCTCTGACGAATCCTAAAGGCACAAAGACTACATAAAAAGTTAGAAGGAATCCAATCACGACTGTAGAGATGAGCAAGTCTGAAAGCATCTACAAGAACTAAGTAAGCACAGATGCTAAGTCCATTTGCAGTATTAAAACACCACCAAGAAATGCTAAACACATCATGTGCTTAGAACAGAGCACCTCTGGACAACAATGGCAGCATACGATGCTTGCCAAGCCAACAAAACTTTATTAAAAAAAATGCTTGTAAGCAAGACACAGCAGGAACATCAGGGATCATGCTACCCCAGAAAGCAAACCTTCACACATACAGCATAACACAAATACTTAGCACTACATGAATAATACTAACTTGGAAGTGGTGTTGGTTATAACCTAAAAGAAGAGAAAGAGAACAAACAACATCATAACCAAACAGAAAATATCAGTAGTTTTTACAGTGCAAAAGGAAAAGGTAGTTACAGCTTACAAAAGCTTTAAGACCATCTGCAAATAAGAGCAAAAATAAATGTATGCCTGAAAACCCCAACATGATTAAGAAAGAAAAAAATGCAGGGATTATAGTTTATCTACATGAATTTAGTAGGGTAATATGGCATTTTGGCTGACCCTTGAACATCATGTTATTACTGTACATCCCTGAATGTGCTATTATCAAAATGTATGGTATGAAAAAAAGTATTTGCAGAGTATATTCTCAACTAAAAATAGCAAGTGTTATAGAGATTATATTCTTCCCTTAGATACTAAATATTCAGGGGTGAAATTGGTTCTCATCAGGTCATCCTCAAAATCAGTACTGCAAGATTGACTTTCTTTCTTTCTGGAGAATATTCAAAAAATGTTTTGGATCTAAAACTGAGGAATATGCCTTATTGTTTAACAAGCTATTGGCCGAAATTTTACTGCACATATGTTATGCCAGCAATGGTGTAAGCCAACTAAAGCATAGATATCCCTAATTTTCTCACTGTGAAGACAGTCCTTGCGTTCTGTATTTTTTTGGCTATCCTTATGTGAATATTTTATTTCCTGTGCTATGTACACAGTCTGAAAAAACACATGATGTATTCTGCTTCACTCCAAAAACAAGAAGAGACTGTGACTTGAATGGTAATTCCAAAAAAAAATACAATACCAAGCTGAAAACATAAGTCTTATACAGTCAAAGCTGGGAGAAATGAAGAGAGCATGCTCAGACTGTCATCTTTTATGACATTATTTGCTAATAACTTCTGTTGGTTTCAAGAATGGCTTTCATGGACTGCACGTATATTTTCCCTTAGTTCCTTCAAAGCTTAGATCATATTCACAGATGAAGAGAAATCCATCATGATTTGAGCAAATGAATAACAAAGAGTTCAGGATCAATTAATAACCATTTCTTCTTATTTAGCTTCATGCAACAGAGTTAACAATACTGGCCACTACCCCTTCCAACTTGCTACTGCAATGCTGGATCTGGAGCAGATGTGGGACTTAAATCACTGGACAGCAATGTTAGATTGACATTCAAACCAGAATGTTAGGCTTTTTCTCTTGGGGAACCTTTGATTTGCTGCATTTTTTTATTCCTTTTTTTTTTTTAAAAAAAAAGACATTTTGCAATTGGTTCACCCTGATGCATTTTTCATGACTGAAAGAAATGCTCTTGTGAGTCAGAGCTGCAGTAAAGGATTTGTACTTAAGCATTTCCATGGAAAGGACACCACAGATCACCTTCTGCAATTACTGTACTTCAGCCTCTCAGATTCAGGAATATTCTTCCAATTTAATAAACCCTACATAAAGCCAAATACAACAATCTGTTGCAGGAACCAGCAGAGCTATATTAGGAACAAGCTGTAGCCTGTAAGCATATCATTGATCCTACATCCATTTTAGGTACCTACAGGACAACAGCTGGGCACTCATTTACAATGAAATATGGTGTAACAGTATCATTTTCTGAAGTGGATTCTGATGGATGTTTTAATCCTCTAATCCAAGTCTCTGCTTTACACATACAATGACAGAACTACAGGGTCCTAACCATTGGTTTTAATGAAAGGATATCTTACATATCGCACATATCTTATGTGTGAAGATGAAAAATCATTACATGTGTATACTAAGAACAGCTCAACAGCCACATATCAAAGTTCTTTTTTCAGGTGTGAAGATGTTATCAGTTTCCTTCAAAGGGTAGTTTTTTTCTCTTTACATTTCTTATGCTACGAGAAAATCCTCTCTGGTTCAGAGCTACCTACTAACTTAGCTCAATCCTAAATATGGACACATGAAGGACCCAACTTGCTGCTCACAGGGGTCACGCAGTAAGAAACAAGAAACCCAAGCCACCTGGCAAGTACGTGCAGGACAGGTATCAACAGCCCTTGACCTACAATGTGAAAAATAACTTGCACTGAAAAAGATAACTTGAAAATGAAAAATAACTTGAATGAAAAAGAACAACACGTTAGAAACTGTCACTCGTTCTTCACATTTACCACTGTTCCCCTTTGGGGGCATAAAGTTTATAGCTTACTGACAGGACTTCCCATGGTGAAATTTCTGACAGCAATTCACACAACTTTAAGTTATTTTAAATGATTTGGTGAAAACAGAAAATTGAATTTGTGTTTCAACAAATCGAAACAAAATACATCTTCAGATTTATCACCAAACCTGCATTTTTCTTCTAGGTTTTACTCCACTGATAAGTGTATGTTCATGAATGCACAGTTTTGAAGCTTCAGAATCTCATGACCTCTATGCCATATTTCATCCAAAGCAACAAAGTCCAGAATGGATTTTGCAGGGCTCAGGGTGCCTTCCTTGCGTGTTCTTTCACATAACAAAATGGAGATGAACACGAATGATACCAAGTCCCAAGGCAGTTACATATTTCACTTCACTATCTGAAGAGCTGTTAGAATGACGCCTCTCACTTTATGAGTAACACTCCATGGGACTGGGGAAGATTTAAAGCATTCCTAAGTTTATTTGAATGTAAACAGATTTAGAATGCTTTAAACCTTAGAGAAGATGGGATAAAGGCAGTTTTAATGTGGTTTTGTTTTTTTTAAACAGAACACTTTGATTTTTCATATACTGTCTTGTTTGTCATTCAAGTTCATACACACTTCCATGTCAAGTGCCATTCTGTCAGACTGCCTCTCTGCTGCCATCTGTCACACAGGAAAAAAATTTAATGGAGCACTGGTGCAAAGGTTTAACGTCTACTTCCATACCACCAATATCCACCTCTGATATTGAGGGCCCACATAATAAAATAGGAGGCATTACTTTTGGAGCAGCCTTCATACATTTTGATTATATGTACATGTAAAGGAGAAAACAGAGGTTACAACAGGTAAAGGTTACAACAGTGCTGCGATGATGGAAGGACTGGCACGATAGAAAGGTGTTACACAGGAAGGGAAGAACATTGCTCACCTGTATTAGAAGATTCCAGGTTCACAGGGGAAAACTCCACCAAGGAGGGAAAAACTCCACCAAGGAGGGATCTCCAATCAGAGATCCTTCCCCAGGGGCAGTCAGCCCTTACATGAGGTCTAAGAGAGGTGCAGCCAGGCTCCACCCCTTCCAGTCATACAGCTGAATTGCCCTCACCTGTGCTACCAGGGCTGACCGGGTCCTTCCCCCAGGTGCTCAATCAGTGGTTCAATTAGCTTTCCTCAAGAAAACTGTAAATGAGAAGCATTTTGAGCTATACTTGGCTGATCTTGCCTATGAACCTGTTTTCTTTTAAACATGAATTGCCCTTCTTAATTATCCAGCATGCAAAGAGAGTGTAGGATTTCTTCAGATAAATTAGGGTTGGAAATGCTGAATCACTGAATTACAGAATTGCAGGAGTTGGAAGAGAACTCTAGAGATCAAGTCCAACCCCCCTGCCAAGCAGATTCCCTACAATAGGTTGCACAGGTAGGCATCCAGATGGATCTTGAATATCTCCAAACAAGGAGAGTCCACAGCCCTTCTGAGCAGCCTGTTCCAGTGCTCTGTCACCTTCACTGTAAAGAAGTTCATCCATCTATTCGCACAGAACTTCCTATGTTCCAGTTTGTGGCCATTGCTCCTCATCCTTTTACTACACACCACTGAAAAGAGCTTAGCCTCATCCAGTTGCCTCCTGCACTTTAGTTACATACAAACATTGATCAGATCTCCTCTCAGCCTTCCCCAGGCTGAACAGACTCAGGTCCCTCAGCCTTTCTTCATATGAGAGATGCTCCAGACATCAGCATGATGAATGCCCAAGAGAATTACGATAAATTAACTAAACCAGAAGAATCATTTAAAGCATTCATACCTGCTCTTTCATAGGAATAAAATATCCTTTCCAAAAACTTTAAACCCTTACATTTTACTCTAGCAAAGGGTAAAACTCTTCTGCATATTTGCATATAAATTAGTTGAAAACGTGCATTTATTATCACATCTTGGATGGATTGTCTGAAATTTTTGTTGCTTTTATCTCACGTAAACAATTCCCTTTTGTTGAAGAAGGGAATTTCCCATGTTCCTAAGCAGGAACTTCATTTTTAAATAAGCATGTATAAGCAAAATAAATATAGTAGCAGATTAATACATGAAGGCAGAAAAAGTAGGAGAACTCATTTCTCATTGCTTTTCTCCTCACATGCTGCAGTCCTAGTTGCTTACATCACACACCTAAGAATAACACAGTTCTCTGCAATACATTAACACACTGAAAACCTTGACAGTGTGAGATCAAACTTTGTAGGGAGCATCTGCAGATTATGCCTTCTTAGCGTACTAGTTAAGAACACAGTGATCAGATGTGAGACAGATTATGCTCAAACCAGAAGATTCAAGAAATGGTGCTTTAACTCATTTTACACAGGGAAGCCAATACATTAAGGAAGGGATTAAAGCAGGACATTGCAGTGCACTAGCATGTCAGGCTTGCTGGTCAAAGCAATTCCTCCTTAGGAAAGTACCAAAGGGTCAGATCTCTAGTGTAGCTGCTTCTGTAACAGCTGGTAGGGATACTACGTTCAGGGAGAATATAAACATCATTTTAAACCTGAAAATGCCACAGCTCTGACTACATTACAGATGCCACTGTCATTGTGGTTCTTCTCATGCCCTGATGATTATTGCCAATTCACATTGCAATTCAGATAACAAAGACCTTATTCTGTAATGGTACTGTGAATATACTTTCGGGGGTTCTAAACATTTTAAAGATTGTTCCAAACCTCAATCATGACTACAACACAAATGCACAACAGGGTAGGCACTATTACATTCATTTTCCAGCAAAATCTTGTTTGAATATTACTATGAACTTATTGAAACATTAAGTATTTTACCATGTTACCTACCCTCTAGGAAGTCCACCT